GGAAATATTTCTGAAAATCCTTGAAGACAAGAAACATCATTAATTTTTTTAATATGGAAATTGATCTAAACAGCATTCTGAAAATAAAAACAGGTAAATACTGGAGTTGTTGCCCAACCAGGTATACCTTGTAATGTCTGAATATTTATTCTTTATTAACAGAACAGAATTTAATTGTTGGTAGAAAAAAAAAAAAAAAACACCAAGGAAATAAAACTAATGACAAAATTTGCATTTATAGTATTTCTGGTGCCTTTAGTGTGGGAGGCCCTATGTTCTGCTTTGGGATCACATGTGGGCATTATCTAACACAAAAAATGTTGTTGAAAGGTGAACACAGAGAACAGAGAATATTTTTGTTGTGATTACTGCTCAGGGATTCAGCTACATATCAGAAAATCTCAGGTACCTAACAGGGACTTTGGGACACCAAATATCTCAGATAAATGAGGATTTTCCTTAAGCTGAAGGCTACTCAGAAGGCTGGACAGGTATTTCCAAATGTCTCCTATCCAAATGAACTGCTTTTACAATACAACATTGCTACTTTTAACGGAAATTTAATCCTTCTTTCACAATAGGATATTTTTAGGAGGGGGAAGAATTAGAGAAGGAGCTTTAGGCAAAAATACCAAAACAACCAAACCACAAAAATCAAGATTCCCTCTTACATTCAGGCTGCAAAAATGTCTGCATTGGCTTTTAGTTGGAAAGTAATCTGGCATACAGAAACCAATAAATGGTGGTTTTCCAGTGGCTTCCACCTGATCCAGAGTTGCAAGACAGCAGTAGCCTTTTCAAAGCCATTAATAATGCAGAAGGTCAATATCTAAACAGATATATTGAATTACACTCTGTATCATTATAAAAGCCAGACTTTTTGTATCACAGGTGATTTTTTATTTCTGCCATTTGACCCTTTCAAGCTAATTAAAATACACAGTTTTTTTGCTGGTTTTTTTGGGGTTTTTTTTTTTATAATATTAAGGATACTATTGTGGGGTTTATCCTAGTGGTTATGCTCCTCAAAATAGATTAAAAAAAAGGCACTACCCACTGCAAAAAAACTATATATATATTTTTTATTAACTTTGCAGCTCCAGTCACTCAACAGAAATCCCCAAACACCAGAAAATCAAAAAAGTTAACCCAAAAGTCTTTCTCAAAGAATATTTTCACAGAAGTGTGAATCTTTCACCACAGTAAATTTTTTTTTCTTCAGATAATTATCAATTTATGTGAGTTTAGAGGTATAAAATGTATAGAAATATTAGGAATTCAATTTATGCTGTGCAGTGATCTGCAATATTTCAATATAGCAATCAGTTCATTTTTGAACAGGTTAAAAAAAAAAAATAAGGCATTGCATTAATTTGCTGTTATGCATTTCCCCCTTATGTTTTAAAATCCATAGTAATATCAAATTCCAAAGCCACGAAATCTGCTGTCGGCATCTCCCATTGACATTTTCTGTTTGTGTAGAGGAAAATCAGGTCAAACTAAGCCACTAACAGCATCACAGCCCTGTTTCTGCAAAATATTTTGTCACTACAGAATGTGGTGATTTCAGTGCATGTGTTCCAGTTTTCTGAATTTACTGATTGATCTCAGGGTGTTCGAGTGCTGAATCTTTGCTGTCTGAGACCTTAAAAAACACAGACTGTAAAGGTTTAATCCAAACCGCGTTGCCTTCACCCAGATCACATAAAGTTGAGTGACTTAGGTCAACAGGAAGGGATCCCTGATAGTCTTCAAAATAATAGAGAAGCACAAACCCTGAAATTTAAGGGAAAAAATTAAATTAGATTAAATTCTCTTCTACTCAAAACTGCAATTGTAGTATGAGGTTCCTACAAAATCAACTCCTTTTCCTTTTCAGCTAACTTATTTGGTTTAATTAGCAGCAAACACTCCACCGATTCTTGTCCAACAAAGGAAAATTCCATACTTCAAATCTATCTTAAGGAAAATCCCATTCATTTAAATATAGGAATGACAGTTGCAAAACGAAGCAATTTTCCTTAACAATCTGTGAGCCAAAAAGTCCTTATTGGAAGTTAAACTGCCTTTGAGTGGAAGATTATTTTTCCCAAACCATTATGCCTGTTAGCCAGGAATAGACATAGAAATTTCCTTTGGAAACCACCTTCTAAAGGCATAATGAAAAATCCATCATGATGATGATGATTATTATTATTCATAATATTAGTAGTAATAATAATAAGGAGAAGTTCCGATTTTGCTAAACAGGAGAAATGTTGGATCTAAAAATATACAAGGGCATCAGCTCTGTGCTTTTGGAAGGTGGAGAGAGTTGGCAGTAGGGAGGTGAATTCAGATACAACAACTTTACATGAATTTTGTGTTTCAGGTCATGGATTAAAATGGATGAAAAGGCTGAAGAGAAGAAATGTTCCTGTTTCTCTGGCTCTGCTCTGCTCAGCCCATCACATGTGTGACATGTAAATTCAAACCCATGGCTCTCACCAACCGGCCAGCTCAAGTACAGTATGTGACACTTTCTCAGATTCCTACTGACACGCAGATATTGCCAAAAATATCATGTCCAACTTTGCACAAAGCTCCACAGGCACAGAAATATTTATTATAAAACATTTGTCTTCAGAGGAGAATACTGGGCTCCAGGAGAGAGGGGTTTTTATGGTCCAGATTTCCCTGTCAAGGATTACGCCGTCTCACAAAACGTGTGCTGAGCCTCTTTGGCAAAGCCCTTTTCCCTTCATATTTGATGTTTGCTTAGTTTTGTTTGTTTGCTTGGTTTTATTGCTGTCAGTGTTATTTCTGGTGACTACATGACTCAGAGGGACTAGAAATAAAATTAGAGACTTTCACCTCTAGGTCAACAGTTTCATTCTGGCCCAGAATACAGGGACCTATGTAAAATAACTCATTGATCTCACTCCAGTTCCCAGTTGGCAAGTGTGCATATCACAAACTCTATCATTAAAAAGGGCAATAAATTGTCATCCTTTGCAGCAGTCCCAGAAGTGAGCTCAGTGTTTGCATTGGCCTTGGTGCTGCATCACCCTCTCCAGGAGGGTGTGTGAGGAGCTGGGGTGTCCTGGAGGTCGGGTTTTCCTTTCCCCTTCCTGCTGGAAAGCTGAACAGGGGGCTGGGTTTTGCAGTGCAACCTCCCAAATCAGTAAGACACCCTTCAGGCAGGTAATCAGATGTAATTTCATAACCATACACTGCTTGCTAGCCAAGGCTTTCTTTTCCAAAGGATGTGACCTTGATCTGCATCAGGTTTCTTCTCTCCCCACTAAACACCCTTAGCGTTTCTCCCTAATCACAGGGGTTCCTAATGAATTGCCAAATTCATGGAGGAGAAAGGTGAAGAAACACAAAGAATTGGGTATCTCTGTGTTTAAAATTACCTGTTTGACCTGCTGCTCCCAGAGCCCAGCTCTGAGATAACAGCTCTCTCCCCCACTGAGATCAGAGCCTGGATCTCTTTCCTCGGATGAAACACAGACAAAAAAATTGCATCACTGTGATCTATAGCAGTAACAAACACTCCTGCTTCTACAGAAAGATTGGAGGGGGAGCTATTATATTTCATTTTTTGGCATTATTATTGATCCTAACAGGTGTTTTGAACTGCAGACCCCCATGGCTTACAGGAGTCTGCACAAACCCTCAGTTTAAACTACAACAGAGACATCCAACCTTTTTTGTACATCCCTGGGTACTTGTAATCCTCCATTCTCCAGCCCATCATGAAAGCAGGAGCATTTAGCCTGGGATCTCAGCAGCACAACTGGGTTAATCTAATTTATTTCTCCTCCCTCTCCATCCTGCAGGATCATAACCACTTTCCCCTCGTGTTTGTGCGTGGCTGTGAGGTTGTGCAGGTATGACTGAGCTCCCACTGGATCTGGGATCGTTTGTCTCCCGTGATCCAGGCTGGCTGCACCACACGGCAGCACACAGTGACAGTAATTTGCACTGATCTGCCCCCACTGCTAGTCCTGCTGCTACAAATAGCAATTGATTATAATGCTGTAGTGTTATTGACTGTCACTATGAACACAAGCTTTATTTCATTTTTAAAGTAACACGCTGCAGATTTACTTAGCAGGCATGGAGCAATAACAGCAATAAAAAAAAAAAAAAAAAAAAAAAAAAAAAAAAAAAAAAAAAAAGGAACAAAATCAAAACAATTTGAGGCGGGGAGGAGGCAGAGGCAGCATTGCATAAAACACGGGGAAAATTAATTAATGTTACCAGATGATTATGATACTGCTGATGAGCAGAAAAGCTGCAGAGGATGTGAAGGATGGTATTTCAGAGAAACAATGCCAATTTACATCACCTGAGGATCTTGCCTGGAGCATTCAGGTCGTGGAAATCTCTCAGATCCATCAGAATGTGGAGAAAAAAAGTGAGCCTATAAAAATCATTGTGATTGTTATGGTCAAAATCTGATGCTGCTGAGGCAGCAGAATGCATTAATGCTGCACTGGATTTGCCCCTTCCTCTGCTTCTCCCTCCCCTCAGTTCAGGATTCAGTTTTTGATCCAGGTTGTTAAAAGAGATCCTATTTCATACATCCCTACGTTCTCTTTCTGAATCTTATGTTCTTAGAGCATTAATCTGCAGGATTGTCCCTAGAGTCCATTTGAGATGGGCGCAGAAATTTAGTTCAGGTAATTATCCTTTCTTTTCAAGTGAATTAAGGAACCAGGAATTCCTGCTTATCTGACAGAAGTGTAGATTTCCTTCCTTAATGCTTGTCACCTGTGAGACAAGTCACACAGGTAAATCTCAAACTGTGCCTTTGTGCCCCATCTAAAGTGGATTTTGGATGTCTCTGCGGAGTAATGCTCCAAGGACGTTATAGTTCAGAGAAAATGGTAATGTCTGTGTATAAAATGTGAATTACTTTAATAGGCTTTGGCAGCACAAGTCTCAACAAGACGATCCACCCCTGCTAATCTAGAGCATACGGGTTTTCTCTTCCTTTTTTTTTTAAAAAAAAAGTCTGAATATAATTTCTCTAAGCTGCAATTTATAATGCTAACGTTTTACCATTTTACCCCCCTCATTAAGGAGAGGAAGAAAGCTTCTAAGCCACTCTATTGAGCTGTTGAAAAACGTCTTACATTGAAATTCCGATTTAGAGATAGGCACAATCCATCTGCTTTGCATACCTTTGCCCTTTAAACCAGTATTTGTGATATAAAGAAGCACACAGCTTGCAGAGTAGCTGGTAAGTCTCCTATCCATGATTTTTTGAGGTTTTTCTTCTTTTTTTTTTTTTTTGTATGTATTTGCAAAGTCAGATTTGTTTCCTTCCCTCCTTTAGGCATGACAGCTTATGAATTATAAAAAAAAACTATCTTTGTGTGGAATCACTGGTGTGGTGGTGTTGATGTTGCTTATAACAGCACTGAATATGGCATATTTATCCTATTTTGTGTTTTAGGTTCCACTTATCCATTTATATGTCTTTATTTAAGACAAACTGCCTAAAGGTTGTCTGATCTATTGAAAAAAATGAGACAGTAGGAATGGCTGTACCTTAGATGGTTAACAAATCCTGCTTTTGCTGACTTTGGGGGTTTTTAATGGTGTTTTGTTGCCATTTCTTTATGATTTGCTTTTTACTTTGCAATGCTTTGATTAAGATGAGGCAGTGATTTTGTGGTATACGGTAGTGAACACAAAATTCCTTCTTCATTCCTTGAATGCCTATTGCTGCCTGTGGCCCATGGGGCTCCTACATGAGCAGATCACAGGATCCTGAAGAAGATGTCATGGCTCCTATCCTAAACTGGGGAGCAAATCTTTATGCAGCTGTAAGCCAGCCAAGACCATAAAAAATTTCATGTTCCTGCCTTTAAAAGAATTACTTCTTGTGTCTATAATATGGTGAAAATGGGAGGAGGGGGGCAGAAAAGCTGCATTTGAGGGCTTTTCCTTCTATATGCATTTCAAACAGAGGGATCTTTTTAAAAAAGGAAATTACAGGTATCACTTGTTTTACAACTCTTCCAGAGCTCAAATTAAAGCTTAAGCAGCTATGTATTTATCAATTAGCATTATTTCTCTATCCCTGTCTGACTCTCTGTATTGTTGTAACTCCATCAAATAGTCATTTGCTTTTTTTATGGTAATAATCCCTTCAAATTCACTCCTTTCATCTGGATCCCTGTATGTTATTTGTTGTTCTGCTAAATCCCTATTACAGAGGCCTAGGAGTTCCAACGGCCTGATGAATAATTAGAAATGTTTTATCCCTAAGCTTCAAAAGGGTGCTAGAAATAATTATAAGCAAACATTTTATGTAGCATTCCATATCAATCCTATCCCAGCTTTATGTTATTTGTGTTTCAGATAGGAGGGAGAGAGGGAGATCCTGGTTTTCAGCTCCCACAGCCTAAAGGGGACACATGTTGACGTTGCTGGAGCTTTTGGCTTCCCTCTCCCCTCTTCTCTTCCTGGTGGGGTCCTCACCACATCCTAGGCACCTCATGGCCCCTCTGATTTTATGATTTTATAGGAGTGTGGTTAATTACTGGCCAAAGATAACGAGTTATTGTATCAGCAAATTCCCCCTACTCTTAGCGGCAACATGCCCCACGGACCTGCGCTGTGTGCGAACAACGCCGCACCAAACCGGACCAGAAAGCTTGAGTTTTGCAAAGTGAAAGTTGATTATTTAGTCCAGACTAGATGTGTCAGTGCAGTCTTATTCCCTAGCAAATTCTGGGAGCTGTAGCAGCTCTAGCTGTCCTTCAGCAGACCAGACTCACGCCACAAAGTTTTTTACACAGAAGGCAAGGAGAGAGAGCTGCATCTCGAAAGCCTACAAAACTAATTGGAACACACCCAATGTCATTACATTTGACAGCATTTTGAGAAATACCCAATCACTTTGTCATCAATTTTCAATTTTGTCAAGAGAAAGTAGCTTTTCATTGGCAAACAACCTGCTGTCCCCACAGTATTTGTGAAAGTGTCCTGGCAGAGAGTAGTGTCATCTCCAAGAACATTTTTCAGGCTCACTTTCTCTATAAAACTTTTATTGAGGAGTTTTTTTTAAAAATCCTTGAAAATTGTGTTAAGATGAAGGGTTTTCATCCTGAAGATACCAAACCCAGTTATGGCCCAGTATAACAAAGGACATAAATACATGATTAACTTGAAACTTGTCAACGGTCCTTCTAGGTTTCCACTAAAACCAGCACAAGTTTTGATGATAAGGAATTTTATCTGTTCACTTCAAAGATACTGTGAATGTTTAATGTTGAAAAAGAATGAATTGACATTAAAAAAGGGAGAAAATATTTATCAATCAATATGATGAGGATTCATGTGTGAAAAGCAAAGAACAGTGTGCTCAGGGGTAGCATAGTGATACCTTTCTACCAATCTGCTGCTCCTTTTGTCTCTTTCCCTCTGAGGTGAATTCATTCATGCTTGCTCTTACATTTCTAGAACAAAAGACAGACTGATTCAGGGCCTGATTTGCTGGAGATACATATTTTTAATCTATTTCTGTATTTTTATCAATTTGTTGCTTTTGAGAGTAGATCCCTTATTTTGCCATTTCCCCACCTTCATGTTGTGAAGCTGTGGTGTGAAGAAATGTGTGAGAAGGAAACCAGGTTTATTAGAGGTGGTTTTCAGTGTTTGCAATACATGGACTCTAAAAACTGGTGGAAGTATTTTGGCTGGCACAGCAGAGAAGAGCAGGGAGTTTACCAAAACCCATTTATATCAGCTGGTGGACTCCCCCTAGCCCAGGGACAGCACTACAGAATGGCTCCAAGGCTAGTGAGGGAATTCCACACAGGAAAACCTTCCTTTGATGAGCCCTTTGGCAACCCTAACAGCCACTGGGAGATCCAAAAATCCGTGTCTGCCCCATCCCTGGAAGTGTCCAAGCCCAGGATGGATGGTCTTCGGAGCCACCTGGTCCAGCAGAAGGTGTCCCTGCCCATGGCAGCAGGTGGAACATGGTGGTCCTTAAGGTGCCTTCCAATATTGCATTTTTGCTCATGGTGGGAAAATGTGATACTTCTAGGTGGTCTTTTCCTCACCTCTGGAGGTAAAACTCAGACTAAAGTTGCAATGAATTATCTCAAACCCTTTCTTCTGCTGAAACAGGGAAATGGTGTGGAATACTGAAAAAACACTGTAAGAATCCAATGGCTCGTTAAAATCACAGCTGGTAGAATCTACAGTTTTTTAGTTTGGAGTTGACTCCTCTCTGACTTTGCCCCTCCAAAAATAACATTAAAACATATATTGTTTGGAAACACTGCAAGCCCACCAAACTCTATTTTATGTGCATCGAAAAGCTTACTTGCTTTTTTGATTAATATGCAAATCATGTGTGCTCCCAACTTTCATCACTGCTTAAATACTGTACACGCATCGTAAATAACCTGCCTATTCAAGTTTTATCTTGTCCACTTTACATTGCACTGCTCTTGTACAGGAAATGGATTGTATTTAATATTGATGGCTCTGTATGTGTCATTTAATCGTCCCTATTGATTGGATTTCATCAGAGTGGGGGGCTCGGACAGAAGCTTTGATTATACTGTAAGGAGTCTTTGCAGTTTTCTGTTACTCAACACCATATCAATGCACCTTCTGGTGTGATATCACTTTCACGATCAATACCTGGAAAGAAAATAAAAAAGAGGCCTCCAGGAAAGGAAAGGAAAAAAAAAAACTCCTGAATCAGCCTCTAATTCCCTTTCTTCACATAGATTAAACCTCTGCAACTCAAAGACCATTTATTGTGTGGTTTTACATAAGAAACGGGGGGGGGGGGGAAAGAAAAAAACCTGGAAGTCTCCATGGGTTGTTTGTTTAATTTCTACATCATTTTTTATTTATAAGCGTCAGCTCTTCCTTTCAGTGTCCCTGACTGATGTTTGATGGTGTGTAATTTTTAACAGTTATATGCCATGTCTCAGTTAACTGTTTCTCTTGATGTAATAATAGTGCTATAAATGTATTACTTGATCAAATGGATGCATAGGGAACATTTCACTTTTCAATATTCTTTCTGCTGAGAGTGGACTGTCTTAGAGCTTTTAAAGAACACCCTTTAAATTGACACTGTCCCATGGTGGCTCGACCTCATCCTCACTCCAGAGCCACTCTGGTTTGTGCTCCTCCATCCTAGCCTCCCAACACCAACCCAGGCAGCAGGAAACAATCATTCCCTGGGGAATATTAATACACAGCAGATGGGTATTTCATGGTGCTGGTGAGAGGGTTTCCCCATCTGGGCATCCTCAGCTGAAATGCAGGCGCTGACGTGCTCGTAAATCCAGCTCCTGGGTGCCTGACAGGAAACATCGTTCAGAGTTGTATCCGAGCAGGGAGAACATACATCGCTCCTCCAAAGCTGTTTGTGCTCTGGTTCTCCTCATTCACTGTCCTGAGATGAAAGGCAGTTTATGGGCTATTTATGAGCTTATCATCTTTTCCACTCTGGTGACCCTTTAACTGAGAGACAACAGTATTTAAGAATAATGGTAATGTTAGTAGCTAATTTTTAAGGGAAAATGGATTTAAAACTTTTTTTTGGAGTAGTGAGGGTGTCACCAATGAAGACTATGAGTGTGGATTTGTGGTGCTCTGGGAGAACAGGAGAATACAGGTTGACCCTTGACATAGAGAATGGTGCAGAGGAAAAATGAGCTAACCTTAGTCTAGATTGCAGTGTCAGTTTAAAACCTCTGACACAGACCTTGACTAAGTTTTCTTGGTCCTTCCAAATGAGTGACCAATGGTTTCTTAGGAATAACTGCTTTTTAATATGCATATTCCTGGAGATATCAGTGCATTTCTGTTGACACAGGGCTAACCTGACACTCTAGTTTTGCACAGAAGTGCTTGTTCTTTGACTGCTTAAAAGAGACCAAAGGGATTAGTATTCAGTAGGAAGAATTGTGATAAACACAGAAAATAGGTGCCTTGTGTGCAAAACATTCATCAGAGAGGGTTACAAAGCCAGGTGTGGCTCTTTCTGCTGACAGACACCCCCAAATCTGCCCAGCAAAGATACAGGTACAGAAACCAGTGGGTGACCTACCAGACAATCCACGTTTCTTTGCTCCATCAAACACTTTCGGAGATCCTTTGAGTTTAATAAACAAGAAAAGGCAGAAACTGTCAGGGACAGATTGTGTTTCCTTACCTGGAGTGACGTGGAAAGTCTTGGGCTGGTGGCACTGTCCTGTGTGCCAGAGGAGAGCCAGCAGCGTGTCAGTGGGACAATCTGAGTCTCCGTGTGGAGCAGAGAGTGACAGGTATTTACCCAAAAGGGTACAGACGGATGCAAGCATCTGAGCTGCTAGACTGGAAGGCTCCTCAGTCTAAAAAACAAAAGTATGGTGTTAGGAAAGTGCAGTGCCTGAACAGATGTAACTTACTCATAAAAAGAAGTGCCTGTAGGCTTCCTACCAAAGCCAGAAGTGACTTCTAGCCCTGAAAAGACCTCCACTGAGACAACTGGGATTTTGAAATGTATTTTCTCTGCCTCTCTGTTGTTGCATTTCTCTGTTTGAATAGTTGCATTAATATATTTCTGGCAAAACTTGTAGACAAACAGCAGTTTTATTGACAAACATTAATGGAACCTTAATTTTCTTGCTTACATATAGATATTTGCAAGAAAAGATGGTTGAACAGTTATACCAAATAGGGAATGAGATTGTTTTGTGTTTGTTCTGGCCAGTCCCATCATTGAATTTTGACAGTGAGCTTTCTTGGCAATAAAACCCAATAATCCTTGTCACTTGTCATGTGCCCTCCTCCAAATATGTGCTTGATCACCTTCATTGTTTAGAAAACAGGTAAAAAAATCAACAAAATGAAAAAAACTAAAACTGAATGTTTCCATATGAAAATGGAACAAATAGAAATAAATTCCTGAATTAGAGCTATATTTATTTAAGCCTGGTCTTAATATTAGAAGATTTCTGATAAAATAACTGTTGCATCATGAATACATAAATAACTTTGGGCCAATAGGTAACAATAATATACTTTATGATGCTCAGTATAGGGTTCTTCTTTAACTTAATATTTCCAAGTAAATTTAATTACAATGACAGTTAGAGAGACTGGATCAGCCCACCCAAAATTAACTATTAACCAATTAGACTGTTGCGTCTTGTTGGGCATGGTGCTTGTCAGGAGAGAGCCATGACCATCAGGGACATAGGGAAACTGGAAACAGATTTCTTAGAAACAATTAATTTGGCAATTTTAGACAATAACTTCAGAACTTTATTTAATACTACTTGGAAATAGTAGAAAGCACTGAAATATTTAATGAAAGAAGAACTTTGAATTGCATAATATTGTGTTTTCTCCTGAATCATCTGTCTTCTGCTGGACACCCTTTGACCCACTGCAGCTGATGCACATTCTCATGCTGGATTCTGCAAATTCCTCTCCTATGGGGCTGCTGAGACCACAAGCCCCCCAGTAATTACCAGATGGAAATGACGCTCAGTCAGAACCAACCTGTGCCACATCCAAGTTGGTGACCTAAAGGTGAAAAGCTTTGATTCCCATTAATAACACTTTGAGTCACTCTGACCTCCAGGATGTGATTAAAAGCCCATTAAATTCCCTCAGTAGCTTTGGCTCATATTGTTTGCATTTTGCATTATTGTCGTGCATTGTTTGATCACCTCATTATATTATTCGACTAATTTAGGGCGCGAGCATTTTTCTGTTTTGCGTTTAAGAATTCACCGCGCTAAGAGCTCTCTTCACCTAGAGGAAATATCTTTTTGTTCCACTCCCTATTTCTCAGTGGGTGGACAAACTGCTTCCCTTTGTCTCATGGCTCAGAATAACAAATGTCAGAGCTCGGAACCTGGTAATTTGGCAATTTTAGACAATCGCCTCATAACCACGTTTTAGTACACCTTTGAAGCGGTGGAAGTTCAAAGGCTCCGCGAAGACGAGCGTTGCTTTGCCTGTTGCTATGAGTCATTTGAAGTAATTGGTCCTGTCTGATGAATGTTTTGAACTGAGGAAGTAGTGCTTTATTACCACAATCAGATACAGGTTTTTAGCTGAGGAAGTGGTGTTTTCCTCGCAGATGTAGATGTCTGCTTGATAAGGCAGAAAACAGACAGATGTGCCTTTCTGCACTGGGGATGAGGTGTGGAGAAGGAGCAAACATGAGAGCTGAGAAAATTCCATGAAGCTACATGAGAGGCATTTGGAAGCCTTCCCAGTGAGAAAAATTCTCAAAAGCAAGGAAACTTGCCTTTTAGAGACATAAATACTTAAAGTTTTATATATCAAACAACTATGCCTATCATCAGGTTTTCAAGTGCTTAGACTGGACAAAAAAATCAGATTAAGCACCCTGAAGGTATTTTAAACAATGTCACCTAATTTTAGGCTCAACATCAGGAGTCTGATTTTACATTTCCCATAAACATATGCTCTCTAACAGTTCTAAAAGTTGGGGGGTTTTAAAATGCAATATTATAAAGTATCATTGCATGTTAAGATGGTTTTTGGAATAATATGATGTAATATTAAAGCCCAGAATTTACGTTCTGTCTTATCAGTGAGTAATGCCTGATGTACTGTGAGGAAGTACCTCTCTTGTAAATATTTTACTAAAATTAGAAAGAGAAAAGTCCTGCCAGAACCACATCTATGCTTTTGGACGTGCATAAGAGCATCCCACAGAGCTGAATGGAGTCTCTGCTCCCCGACAGAGAAGTGTTGAGTTGTGACCCCACCCTGGGGCTCGCCAGCTCCTGCAGGCAGAAACCTTGTGCTCAGATGTGCTGAGCTCAGTCCATCCATCCATCTGTGCCACAGACAGGAGTGGGAGAGCATTTTTTGGCACTAGGAAGGTTTTCTTTTCTTAGTCCCCTTTGGAATTACACCCACTGGTTGAGGTGGATCTGCACTGTGCCATATCCAGTGGACTCTTCCGTGTTGATCTCCTCTTGAGGCAGTGACAGTGCTGATGGTGGGTGTGCACGTTATTCATTACTGAGAAGGACCTTTTTCTTCTCCCCAGGCAGAGAAATCTTGAGGAGGAATCTCTGCTCCCACTGCTGCACTGCAGAGGCCAGAGAAACACAGTAAAGCTCTGAATGGTAACAGAGAATATCCACTTCAGGGTGTGAGTGGTGTCCAGAGCAGATTAAGGAAAGAAAGACTCATATTTCAAAGGCAAGGAAGACTGGTGTGTGCTTTTGAGTGGAAAGCCAGTACAGCAAGAATGGCACACTCAGGTATTTTGCAGGACCATTTTTTTCCTCTTGCAGGTGGTGACAGAGTACAGAAGTGGCTCAAGTCCAGCCAGTTTCAATAGATCAGCTCCTTTTATCAGTTTTACATTATCACATTTACTTAATATCACATGGAACAAAGTAAATGTCTGCTAGGAAAGGCTGGGCTGCTGCTCAGCTGACAAATGAGCTGCCCAACGTGCTCTATCTCCTCTGAACCCCTGTGTATTCACCTGCACCTCCACCTCAGCCATTTTTCTCTTTCCCATCTGGGCTCTGGTTGCTTTGGCCAAGTGACACCTTCACAAATCAAAGGTTGCATGTGTAAACTTTCCTGGTGAGAGAGGAAAGAAGATTTGAAGCAGAGAAAAGAACATAGGTGGACACAGGTCTGGAAGGAGAACTCAAGACCTGGGCTGACCCTCATGTACACTGCAGACAGTGCAAAGTCTACTTTTTTACTCTTTAAGAGCTTTGGCCAGTGATCTGGGTTTAGTTTTCATCTGGGTGAGTGTAACAGGATCTTATCTTAGCCTGCATTTTGCCCACACAAATATTCAGATATAAATATTTGAAGATCTTTCCTCCTTTAAATTAATTTTCAGTTTTGTAGTAGATCAATGGTAAGAGAACAAAATGATCATAGCAGAGATTGCAGAGAGATGGGCACTGATAGCTTTGATGATGTCTCCAGTATTTTTTGACTGTTGAAAACATCACATTTCCATTTAGTCTAATGAAACGGGGTCTGATCTCATCCCCCATTTGTGCCCATCACAAAGCTGTCACACATTTTGATACAATAAGAATATCCTTATGATCAGTGAAATTGCCAAAACAAATTATGGCGATGGTAGGTTAACCCATCCTCCTGCCCTATCTGAGAGCTGCCACACACAAGCACAAAAACCTTCTTGCTCTGTAGCAGCAGGGGCTCCTCCTTCTTTATATGCTTTATGTATTTTAAAGATAATTAATACTTATTAATAGGTTTTATTCAATTATTTTCCTTTTTAAATTTATTTTTTAATTTTTAAGCACTTTAACTTAGTAATGTTGTTTTATTTTTTTTCCACAGAAATGTGTAATTCCATTTTTTATCCAGGAGAACACCATGAACAGTTTAAAGGGGCAGAAGTGCAGCAGTTTGGCTGAGCTATTCCACAAGCTTCCTACAGTTTACCTACATTTCTCCTGGCAGAGCATGAGCTTCCTGTGAGAAGGAAAACCTCACCAATAATTACAAAGTAAGTTGGTGAATAAAAAAATAAAACATCACTACATTTTGCCTTTGCCAACCCCAATGAACAGCAATATAATTAAAAATGGAATTTCAAATTTCACCTTTCCAACAGAATAAACTTGACATCCAGATGTGGGCACAGGATCCACCAGCACTCCTCTAAACTAGCAGGAATCCTTCTATTATAAAAATAGAATCACATTTCAGGCTTGAGTCTATTACACAGCAGCAGTTCCTGTTGAGAGCATCTCTGGGCATCCAGCTCAGTGATTTCAAAAGAAAAAAGCCTCAGTGGCACTGATTAATGGAAAGGCCTGGATATACTGGTGGATCTGGAAAGCATCTCGTAATCTTTGACAGACAAGATGTTTCTTATTCTGATGGGATTTGATCATTGTTTATGAAATTATGTGAGTGACATAGCATCACTGTTATTTTTATCCTGGCATTACAGCTGGTCTAATAATTTGGGTAATAAAGTTACTTATTTTGGCAATAAATCATCATATGTATCCAGAGTTCTTATCAACATTTTCATTTATTAATATTCTCTGTCAGAATTCTTATCAATATTTTTCCACATTTGTTTTTCTTTTAGAAATCCTCTGATTTAAACTTGTATTAAACTTGTATTAATGCAAACCAGTTGATTTATTTTAAATGGTGACATCATTTTACTCCAGTCTGTAGAGGTTTACACTTTGCCTGAATTAAAGTGTACACACTGACTTTAACAGGAATATTTCCAGTTTATCAAGTGGCTGTTTAGAATACATATTTTTTTTATTATACACCAAATTTTCATTTCCATCTCCATATACACTTACACCTGTGTTTGAACCTGTGTAAGTATACACTTGTTTTCCTCATTTTCCCATATGGTTTCTGCCTATTCATCCTTTCCTTTTCCACAGAAGAATCACAGAATCATGAAGGCTGGCAAAGACTCCCAAACTCATCCAGCCCAGCTTTCTAAACACAACTGAGGGAAATATTTACAATGGTTTTATTATTAAGAATGTTGTTTAAGAAAAAAAAAATTAATAAAAATAACTGAAAATTATAACTTGTAATAACCTATCTCAAAATTTCTGAAAACCAGAAAATCCTCAAGACAGAACAATCTCTTTGACAGCTGGATGGGTGAGTAACACATCACATTTATGCTGGGAAAGGAGAATGAAAACCCATCCTGAAGGAACAAGAAGTGGGGCAAAAACACCAGAGGTTACTTTACCATAAGTCAAGTCCAGCCAACTACTACCAGTAGTAACTCAGATTTCAAGGAAAGCTGAGGACACTCCTGAAATAATGAAAATTTTCTTCCTGAAATAATGATCAGGACAGGAAAATGAAGACATTCTGTGGATGAACAGACCATTGCAGGCTGAACATGATCAATTCTACGTGGAGAGTTAATAATTTATCATTAAGGAAAAAACTGAGAAAGAATTTATGCTGTCAGTTCATGCAGTGGGGATAAAAAAAGATATTTATTTAGTCCTGTTTTTGCAACAATAAAATTTGGATTAATTTGCAACAGCAGCTCAATGGAGATGTCTGCTTCATAATGGGAGGGAAGGCAAAGAGGGAACCATGGAGCAAATATAATTGTCTTGAAAGCTGTGGTTTAACAGAAACAAGCCTGGAAAAGATTCCTTGAGCCACTGAGTTAAGCCCAGCTCCTCCTTCTCCCACTGTATAAAATTCTCACCAGAGCTCACTCTGAAAGAACTGGATGTAAATATAAATCTTCAGCTGAAATACAGCAGAAGTTCTACAAACCCCAGCATGTTCACATCTGTCACAGCCACTTTACACTAAGACTTTAAGAAACTTGTGTTACAGCTCAGCCATCAGATTTGATTTTCCTACCACCTTGAACACCTAAAAAGATTTTGGAGGCATATATATATATATATATATATATTTTTTTTTTTTTTTTAATCATAAAGCAATTTAAGTCCTGTTGGTTGAGCCCTGATCTGGCTCATATTTAAGCATGTGCTAAACTTCACTCATATAAGCAACCCCAGAATTGACAGCAGGGCTTCAAAATGCCATTTTGTGCCTCTGAATATTGAAAAAACATGGCTGGTTTAAAAATATCCATCAGCCTAACCAGCACAGCACAACGCAAAGTGTGTCAGTCCACTGACAGAGAGGAAAAATAGATGGAGAGCATTGCTCTGAGTGGGCAGGGATGACAATCAGAAGGAATAATGTCATTCCAGGTGTGGGAATATTTGTGTTTGCTCTTGGTGATGATGGCTGTGACACCCAGCCCGTCCTCAGTGCTGCGACAGCAAGGGAAGGAGCTGGAATGCAAGAAACAACTCCCAGTGATACCCACAGGTAAAAATTATGA